TCCAACAAGGGGGGCGACAGCACAGTCGTCGTCCACCCCTGGCCAGACGGGAGCGCACGACTTCCCCTCCATCCGCTTCTCACTCGGCAATTTCAAGAACTCTTTAACTCTCTTTTCAAAGTTCTTTTCATCCTTCCCTCRCGGTACTTCTTCGCTATCGGTCCCTCTCACATATTTAGCCTTGGATGRGACTTACCACCCAATTGGGGCTGCATTCCCAAGCAACCCGACACTTGGACAACACCTCGTTGCGCAGCAGAGTCCGACGGTCGACGGGGCTCTCACCCTCTTCGGCGTCCCCTTCCAGGGAACCTGCACACGGCTCGCTGCAGAGGTTGTCTCTCAAGACTACAATTCTGGGAGCAACAGAGCCCCCAAATTTTCAGTCTGGGCTATTCCYGGTTCGCTCGCCGCTACCAAGGGAATCCTCGTTGGTTTCTCTTCCTCCGCTTAGTTATATGCTTAAATTGGGCGGGTGCTCCCGCCCGACCTGAGATCAAAAGGCAAGGCCCGACGTTCCTCCACAGCTCGAGGCCGACACCCCCAACCGCAAGCCCACCTCAAGCCGATGGGAGCGAACAGAAGGCGGCGACCACACAAACCGGAGGGAYGACCTTACGTGCCGTTTTCAGGGAAACGAAGACCACCACCCACAAACGGGTGBTGGAGGGCAACAACAGGGCGGAGCGAAACGCACCACTCTGGGCTACGGCCCCCACAGACTCGCTCGGAATGCTCTCCAATTCCCTTCCACTTTAGGCTATCGACGCTCTCCAAGTGGGAAGCGAGGGAAGCCACGACAATGGACCCCACCACTCTCCGAAACGGAAGGTGCTGAGGTCGTGAGGAATCCAATGATGCTCAGGYGGGCGTGCCCTCGGCAGAAGCCTTGGGCACCACGAGCGTTGAAGGTATCGATGGCTCATGGATTTCTGCAATTCACATTCAGTATCGCATTTCGCTGCGCTCTTCATCGTTGCGAGGGCCAAGATATTCGTTTGCTGAGAGTTCTACAATATGGTGCCGTTGTCGGGCAGCTGGCTACCTGCCGAAAGGTCCCATTAAAAATAAAAATGATTGTTTGTTTCCCCTTCTGTTTGATTTCAAGTGTTTTTTTTCATTGAGTGCATGATGATTGAGGGATGTTTGGGGGATACT